TATACTGTAAAAATACTGTAACATGTCCACAGCTGTATATTGATTATTTATTCTTCAGATGCACTGTTTTTATATTTCTAAAAGCACTGTACATTACAGTATTTTTTTTTTTGTTTTGTTTATTTTTTTTTTAATACTTTTCTGTTATTTGTATGCACTTTTTATAAGTTCCAAAGTTGTGTGACCACTTTTGCTGTAATCTGTTGCTGCTGTAACACCACAATTTACCAATTTTGGGACAATAAATGGATTTTTTTATTTTATTATTATACTCTTATATGTATGTCTATTGTAGTTAACCTGAGCTGCTATGTCACACCTCCACCAGAGGGTGGCGCTGCTGGGAGAAACCCTCCTTTCGCACAGGAAGTTGCGTTCCCTTTCAGGTCCAAGAGAAAAAAAAATGTCTGTTCCGGACGTGGAGGACTTTATTCAACAGAACCGTGTTCTGGCCAACCAGGTAGAGACGTACCGGGGTTACTGGGAGAGCGAAAAACACTGGGAGGCCCGGAGGGAGTTTATCCTGAGGAACATGGACGATTTTAAGGAGGAGCAGCTGGACCATCTGCTGTCTCTGTCCATGGTGTGGGCCAACAACGTCTTCATGGGATGTCGGTACGTAAACACACCACGATCTCAGACCCCATGAGCCTTTTTACTGAATGATTATCTGGCCCAGTTTGATAAATATTAGATCCAGTGCTTCATTTATTAATTCATGTTTAAGAGTTAAGTTCCATGTTATGTCCTTTCCCTCTTATTTCCTTCTTTCTTTATTTTTGGCATCCTTTATTATTTTCTTCCTTCCATCCTCCTTTATTTCCTTTCCTTATTTCCTTCTACCCTAACTTTCCCATTAGTTTTGTCCTTACATAAATTATCCCATTTATTGTACAATTTATTATTTTCTTTCATTGTTACAACTTTTTAATCAATTTTTTTCAATTCTTTCATCCTTTCATCATTCTTTCATTAACCTTTTTCTTCTTTCCTTCCTTGTATTTCTTTCTACCCTAACTTTCCATTTATTTTTACATAAATTATCACATTTATTCTACAATTTATTATTTTCTTTAATTGTTACCTCCTTTTATTCCTATATATTTTATTTCATCCATTCCTTCCTTTAATCATTCCCCTTTCTCTTCTTTCCTTCCTTGTATTCTTCCATTTCTTATGCTGTATGGAACTTTTGTAAATCTGTTATAAAAGGAAGCTTTAAGTTTATAGTGACTGAATCCATCTTTTTACTTTCAGCTACAGCACAGAGCTTCTGGATAAAGTGAAGGAAATGGCCGAGGGCATCGTTGTAAAGGACGCACCAGTTTTCAAGACCAGGGATGAAATTATTAAAAACCAGCAGGTATTCTGTAAAAAAAAAAAAAACACCATCAGAAAACAATAAAATGTAAGAGAAAGTCCTAACTGAATTCTCCTGCTCTGCCACAGGGCCGATGACTGGAGCAGACGCCCAGGATGTGCTCAACATGGACCTGCATTTTAAGGATTTTAGAGAAATTGATCCTTTTAATTGAACTGATTAACCAACTTTTTTTTTTTTTTTTTTTTGTGGGAGCATCTCATCGCATTCTTCATTTTTACCTGTGATTTTTCAGTTTGAGTGCAGTCACATTTTATGAATGCATTTGTACATTTTTAGCAATCCCGGCATGTTTTAACCTGTTTTTTAATGTGTTTTCTAGAAGATTAAAATAACTTTTTTTCAAACACTGCTGTCTGAGTTCCCCCTGGTTTGTAAATAATAAAATATTGGTAAACTATCCAATTTTAGGAATTAAGAAAATTGCAAAGGTGACACTCACCTCAGTCTATTAATTCAAACTAAATGCCATGTGTATGCTTTAAAACCTAGTAAAAAAGTAGTAAATTTACTATGTCCGTTAGTCACGTTGTATAACACAAAAAAGGATGACACAATGAAAAAATAAAAATGCAAAGCCTAAAATGTTCTTATTCCTTTTAGGCTGTTCTAAAAGTATTTATAATTTTAATAATAAACTGCAAAAGATTAAAAAAAATTTTAAGCAGATGAATCATGTTGACAGATACATTTTTAAACACAGCTTAGTGAGTCAGTCTGTAAGAAACTACTTCTGTATCGGTCACATGACTTTCTTGAAACAGCACGCTCACTGATACAGTTTTGCTCCATGCATGCACTGACACATCGGTGTTAATGGACCCATCACACACACACATCAATTTCAAACAGATATTATCAGCCAATACTGCACAGCCAGGTATCAGTATTGGGGCCAAAAAAGGGCATCGGCACAACACTACTTTTTACCAAATATTTTTTTACTTTTGAATAAAATAATACAAAAAATGTAGTGCTACTCTTACTTTAGTAAAATTTGGGGTAATCTACACACCCCTGGTTTTTCAGCTGCTTTCTGTTTCATCTTATATCTTTAGAAAGCTGAACTGAGGCCAAATAACATGACATGCAGGGAGCAGAAACAGACCAAACACACTTTAAATGACAACTTTAAAGTTGAAAAATACAAAGACTGAACAAATGACAGATTCTAGTTTATAAAGCAAATAAAATGTCCTGAATGTTCAAAAAATTAGTCAAGCAAAATGCATTAAAAAAAAGTTATTTAGCCAGGGAGAAAATTATACATTGGAAATGCTTAGTTTAGAAACCTTAACTAAAATTAGCTTAGATAATTTTTTTCTTTAAAATCTATAACTGGATTAATTAAACTACAGGGTTGGAAATGGTTCACAGAAGGAACTAAAGCAGGAAAGATCTGAGTTAAAAAGGCAGCTTGCATAGCAGAGTGCAATGTTTTCCCATTAAAATAGAGCAAACTTAATTTTTTATTGTGTTCCCAATTTACCATCAATCTACCTCATTCCAGAGGATTGGGGTAGATTGGTAGAAGTAATGAAAATTCATATGTGGATTTTTTGCTGTATTCACCAAAAAGAACTATACATGCACACCAAGGAGTAAAATCAGGCTTTAATTTAGGTCAAACCTGCCTAATCCTTGTAATTAAATAAATGCTGCATACACACTGGAAATTTCCTTTAAATGTCAATTCTGCCCAACATGGCTCCCTCACCAAAAAACAAAAATCACATCACCAATACTCAGTTTGGTGTTGAACTTCAACATGAGACAAAAGAAAAGTCCCCCAAAGACTTGAAAGTTTTTTTAAACTCAAACAAGATAATCAGTTTAGTGCTATAGCTCTGAAAAAGAAAATGTTGAAAAGGGCCATGGATAACATTAAGTAGCACATGCTTGGTGTTTTTTGGGAGATTGGAAGGAACATTGCTCCACTTGTTGGAGAAGGATTAATGAAGTTCATCCAAGGTTTTTAACCTCCCTTACCAAATATTTCAAATCTCTTTTAGAAAAGAGAACATTGTTATTGTTATTCTCCTGGAAGCAGCCCTTTAAGACGTAAAGGGAGGCTTTGTCCTGCTGTAAAGATGAGGACTCATTGAAGAGAGATTCCTGCTGTTAGATCTCCTCCAGTTTAACATCTTGAGGGTCTACTGGTCAATTAAAGTAAAATGACTATAGATTGTGGTGGAGCTGCTTTTAATGTGCTGCTTAAAGCACCCAATGCCCAATCTGTAACAGCTTTGCATCCATTTTACAGCTGAATCTATACAGACAACGCTTTTTCATTTTCATGCAGTCAAACCCATGTATATGCCTCAGAAAAATCCCCTGATGCCAGATTTATGAGCCGATTTTTACTTCCTAAGAATGTGATCTTTACCTATTGATCAGCAAATTTTAGATCTAAATTTCAACTCCATAAGAAAGTTATGATCCAGCAGCATGACGTGACAATACATCAGTGCCTAGTAACTAAGTACATCATTACAGTATTTAAATAATTTTGTGGATGTTTATAGACATTTTTCTTTTAAATCAAGACTACTTTGTTTCATTATTGGACCAATTTATCATTAAAGGATTCATTGATTTGGAATAGGCATATAAACAAAAGACAAACTGCTTTTTTAATGGTCTGGTTGGTGGCAATAATGAACTTCTTTAAAAACAGAAATGTTCATTTTATATTTCTCTAGAAAGGTTGGAACATTATTAATTCTGTTACATGTTACTCTGACGCACTTCTACTCCTCCATCCTTACCTCATGATCTGGTAAGCTGATGCCACTGGCAAGGACAAGGACAGACTGCGGCGTGTCATCTGTTCTTCAGAGAAGGTGATTGGCTGCAACCTTCCATCTCTCGAGGATCTGTACGCCTCAAGGACTTTGAGGCGTACAGTGAAGATCATGGCTGATCCTTTGCACCCCAGCCAAACCATTTCAGAAACTTCGCTCTTGCAGGAGGCTGCAGTCCATCAGGACCAAAGATCATGCCTCATGACACTGCTTCTCTCCTCATTCAGGACCTAGAAGCTACACAAACCTATCATCTCCAGACCTCATCCTTATAATACAGCCTACTGTGTATATAATGTATAGGTATGTACTATATATGTAATGTCAATCCCTTTATTGTCCCACTGTTGAGCTGAATTCATTCCCCGCCTTCCTCTAACTGAAAATAGGAGAGTATCTCTCCCAACCTGGAGATAGACTCCAGGTGAAGCTAATTAAGGGATCAGTTTGGAGATGTTCACTCACTGTGCAGCAATGAGCACTATGAGGTTGCCTGGGTGAATACACTGCAGGAAAGTTTGTTCCAAAGAGAAGGAGCTGGGGAGCCACAAATTGTTTGAATATTCAGATTGAAACGTTAAAATGAAAAGTAAAAAAAAAAAAAAACGAAAAGAGGAATTATTTAAAATGTGTTTGAGAAAGTAAATTATTATTACTAGAATGTAAACACTTATCACGGAATAATGCTTTGAATATGCTTGACTTTGGGTTTAGATCATATATTTTGTTTCAGGAATAATTTTGTCATTTAAAGGATGTTAATCATTGTTTCTCTGTGTTTATGTTTAAAGGTTTTTCATCTACTACTGCGGTACTATCAATGCTACTATTGTTGATTGAACTGTCAAATAAAAGAGAAAAAAAGGAAAGAATCAACCTTGGTGTTTCGAGTGAAATCCTCTGAAATCTCTGGAAGCAAGCTGCCTTTTCAAGTGATGGAAACCTACAGTTTAAATCCCAAACAATAAAGTTTGAACCACCTTCTATTGTCCTAAAAACTGAAACCCAAAATTATTATTTTTATCCAAGTAAAGGGATTGAAAACAAAAAATTGCTCGTTTTGCCTCTTTTGATGCAAAAAAAAAAAAAAAAAAAAATTACTACTTTACTTTCCCCAATTATAGTGAACAATTTTCTGACTCTAACCCAATAACTTTTCAGTTTTAAGGTGTTTTTGTGAACTTTATGCAGCTCTGGAATGCATAATTTTTTCTAAGTCAATTTTAATTAGGGGATCATATGCAGAAAAAGAAAACACAAAGAGAAGCTTTCGTCAAAGTCTGAAAAATGTGTTTTATTATGTTTTATACAGCATATTATTTTAAGTATACATTTGTTTCTCAAAATTTTATAGCATACTCTGTTTACTAGGTGAAATAAGTCACAAGCCACAATATGACCATCTTCGTTTAAGAAAGGGGGACTTTTGAATGATTACTGAGCAGATGCTACTAGGTAGGGCAAGTCATGTAGTAATGATGTTTAGAGGAAACGCCATCAAAAAACAAAACAAAAACAAAAAAATAAACATTGCAGACAAAGTTATTGTAAAAATGCTTAAATTTTCAATATAATAGCTTGTTTTGTAAAAATTCCAAATCAAATGATTAAATCTCTGGTTCTCTTGACCTTATTTTTAATATATATGCAGCTTGGTTTTAATAGAACCATCCAAGCTATGGACACTTAAGCCCCTGGCCTTAAATGAACAAAGTATTTTTTATGTGGAGGGAAATTATACATTAAGAGGAAAAAGCTCCTTTGCTCCCTTCTCTGATTTTCTTCTATGAAGAAATAAACGTGTGAATAACAGAGGATCAGCAGACATGATATGGAAGCATTAAACTCCCTCCCTAACACCATATTTTCTCCAATCCTGTCATTCTTGCTTTTAATAAACATGCCTGCATACCTTTCGTGCCAACATGAACATAGGAGGGAAAATTCGGGGCTCTCCATTTTAGAACAAAACACAAACATTATTCCCTCTCTAATAATAAACCTCCATCATGGCCAGCCGTGATTCATCTGTGCTCTTGTTGTCCTGTAACCCTTGTTGAATCCCAACTTAATCATTCTTTAAAAACAAAAAGAAGCAGAAATCTGCAGGAGCAGACAACCTGTTCCTCCTCAGCTGCATTTGCAGATGGACGGAGGAAAACTGATGCTATGGACTCTAAAAAGGCATTTCCGTGTTTTTTTTGTTCGTTTCCACAGCTTTTTAAAAATATGCCGATTTGGTCATTTAGCATGTCCTTTTTCAAACCAGCACATCATCAGAAAAACAAAAAAAATGTTTTTCAAATCTTGGGCATTAACCGCTTTAGTCCAACCAAAGATATATTACAAATTTGTTAGCAATAACTTATTCCACACCATGCAATAAAAAAATAAAATCAAAAAACATAACATAAGATCAACCCCACCATCCCACATTTCCTATAATGTATTGGTAAGCAAGTTAATGTCTGTTCAGATTTGGTGTTTTTCTTCTTTTTTTTTTAAATCAGGGTGGCACTTGAGTTTTGATATGGTTACTTATTGATGAGAGACTGAATAAGAGGGATGATGAAGAGGGGTGTGTGTGAAGATAAAGGGTATAGGGGAAAAAATGCTCAGACGTCTACCCAGCTCTGCTCCACAATGGCTGTTACCCTTTTTTCGTACTCCCTCTTATTTTCCTGGTAGAGCTGTGCCGCCTGACTATTGGCTGGGCTGTTGGGGTTTGGCTCATCAAGCAAAGACTGCAGAGAGAGAAACAAAGAGATGATTTTACAAACATCAATCTCTATGAAAAACAAACAGGTCACAGTGGGCTGTATCCCAGAGTATTACAAGAAAGTTAGGTGGATGGAAGAAGTATGGAAGAATGAGCTGCATTAGCAATGAGGGAATAACAGCTGGAAGCCCTACTTCAGGAATCACCACATTCAGATTCATCTAGTATTAAATGTGCAGATAAAACATCAACAATATAAAAACCTGGTCTAAAAAGAAGAGTTAGACTGTTGCCTTTATCTAGTCCTCTTTTTAGGCTGGGCATACACCGTATGATTTTTTTTGTCTTTTAAAGGCTGTTTTTCCAGTCGGGCGAGAATTTTTTCAATTGGGCCACACAAAAGGAAGTTACTGACAAACCTGGATGGAGGTGAGTATGGATGAAACATCATACGTAGGGCTCCAGCGATTCTGAAGAATGTCTAAACATATACTGCCGTCAGCATAAACTAGGAAACAGGGAAAAAATAAATATAGTTAAACAATCCAATAATACATTTGTTCCTAAGTATTAATCCACGTCATCAAGATTATTAAGTTAAAAAGTCCAAACAGACATGTACAACCAACTTTCTCTCTTGTTGATGATAATAAAATATCAGGATAAATATATAATATCATGAAAAAAAGTTTTAAGCTCCACATGGGTTTGGGGTCATTTCTGCAGCAGCGCCACCTACCATTTGGATGAAACATTTTGGAGACAAATCGAACTGTGGGAGGCTTGTTTGGATACTCCTCTGAAAACTCTATCAGCAGTTTAAATGTTCCTGTAGAGACAGAAATCAAGATTGGCTACAAAAGTTTATCTTGCAAAAAAAACAAACTAAAAACAAAGATGGTGAAAAGACATCACGGAGTGACTAGATATAAATTACCATAACAATGCATGTGCAGAATAAGAGTAAAAGTAAACGATTGACAGCAAATATTGAATGGCAAACTGAATACTCTGCAATGCCAAACTGAAAACATTACCTTAATCCAAGATTTATAAAAATTTGAAATTAAGAAAACCATCTAAAAACAGCTGCACTGATGCAAAGTCTAAGATTCCAGATCTCCGTCCTGTTTACCCACAGACACTAGCCTTAGTCCAAATCCAATATACCAACAGTCTTTGCAAGTGGAATAAGGTTCTGAAATAGCAGAAATATAAACTGATCCGTCCTGCAGCATTTGAGCAAAGAATGTTGCAGACCCCCCCCAGAAGTTTTACTTAATCTGAAAAAAATGCAGATGATCAACAGCTACATCAGCAAACTTGTTCTTCTGCTAAACTGTATTTTTGGCGCTATACCTTTTGGAGATCATAAATAAAAAATAAAAAAAATAAAGGGATTCCCATAAACAAGCCAAACAGTTTATCCTTGACAATATTACTGTACAGAATGCATCTAAAACTGTAGTGTTTAAAAATTATTTACTTCAATACAAAGCTTGTGTGGTTTTTGATTTATTTATTCATTTTTATTAATAGGAGGAATGCCATTTTTCTGCAAGTTTTGCTTTGTCAATGGAAAATGTGACAAGTCTCATCAAAACAAAGAGGGCAGAAGTTGACAAAGGTAACATTTAGCGACTTTTCAGAACATCCTAAACCCACCCCCCCAAACAAAGAGAATTGGCAACAACATTAAAGCACCGATTGTTAAAACGAAGTGACAGGTTGATCTTTAAGTAAACTGCCTATCAGAGAAGACCGACGCTTTTCCTCGCTAAAATGAGTTATGTAGTATGAGCAAAGCTTCCACCGTAGATTAGAAATCAGGATGTAAATATTACCTAAATCTTTGGATTTTGTTAAAATATTAATGAATACTTAATATTTTAAACAGTCCCATAGATGATCCGTTGTGAGTTGCTTATCTTCTCCCCCACTGGTCTGGACTCCCTCTTCCAGTTTGCAAATTTAACTTCTAATTTTTGTTTTTCAGCATTTTTCCCTTTGCATGTTTTTTGTGTTTTAGCATTACTTATCAATTTTCAGCTTTTTTCTGTATGCAGTGTGCTTCCACTTTGTTGCTCTTCACTTTCTCTGATATCTGCTTATTTTCTTTGCAGAATTTTTTCATTGCATGCGTTTTCAGTTTGAGTGTTAGTGACATTTTTCCTTTCTGTATTTGCAGTGAAATCATGCATTTATATCCCTTTGGCCAACTTACTAATGAGTGGATCAACTGAAGTGTACTCTGAGTATTTTGTTGTATAATCCTTATAGCCTAATGTTTGCACAGTATGCTTACATGCTGAAGCAGAAATACAGCACTGCATGCATTGTTAAGAAGCTGAATTCAATACATTTCAGTTGTTTTGGTAAACAAAACAATAAATACTTAAGAAAAAAAGAAAACTTACCATCTTCAAATGGTGTTCCAACAGGCCTGTACAGAGCGAGAGGAAGGAGAGACACAGATTGCTTATTAGCAGAGCCCAAAAATATGATTCTAAAAATATATAAAAGCAAAGCATAATTTCGTAGTGAGTAAATGTTGCTGTTACACATTACACTTTGTTATTGCTTTTAGTGTTTAAGCTTTGAAAATCATTCCTTCACCCCCCATAAATCATTCCAAATGACTTTAATACTGAGTATTAATATCAGGTTCATATACCTGGTTACTACGTAATTGTGAACTAATCATCTTCCTCTCTTTTGTTCTAACCTGCTGCAGCTCCACAAAACATTCAATAAAGTTCACCATGAGGGTAAAGATGAACTGACACTGATGGAATGACAGGCATGCATGTAAAAGATGCACTTCAATGGGTAAAAGCAAAAGTGAAACGATGGCATTTTAATTGAGACGAATCATATTTGCTGCACTTGCAAAACACGTCAAACAGTGTCACTATGTCAAAATGATAAAAGGCGATGAACAAACATACACAATCCAACTGATTATCATCACATTACCTTATTGCATACTTGAGTCAGTGACATGCTGTGAAAGTATGTTTGCCTCTTACTTTCCTATAGTTCAGTTTTTCCAAAACTAGTGGGCTAACTTTTTTCCAAAACTCCAGGATAACCACTACCTATGCTAATTTAAAGAATGTTAAAGATTATGTTTTCTTATGATGTAACCAAGGACAGGGCTTTTAATTCCTCCACAGAATTCATATTGTTAAACCATCATTATTATTTTTCTAAAAATTCTCCATGAGTCAGAGGAGCCTTAGGAGAAAATGATTATCGTTAACGTTAATGAATTATACCTGTATTTATTTCAGAAGTATTGTTTTTTTTTTTCCAAATAAAGAAGTTAAGGAGGAAAGCTTAAAAGCTTAAAGTCATGTTTTTGTGTTTTATATAAGATTTAAAATGTACCTGCTTATAACCCTGTTACTAAATGGGTGTCGACATCTGCAGAACAAAAGCCTTTTTGTTCACTGTAATCTGAACTGCATTACGAAGAGATGAATTGTATCCTGTTGTACATCTAAGCATCTAAAATGGATTCGAGGGTTCAAGATACGCATGTATGAACAAGTCAGGCAGGACATCTAGGATTTTCTAATATAGCGAAGAAGTGGATGAGGGAAGGGGAGAACAGTGACTGGAGCAGTTTGCAGAACGTGTGCATCACAGAGGCAGCGGGAGCAGAGAAGGATTTAGAACATGACTCACCCAAAAATAACAGCGTTCCAAAGCATGATGTTGTTCTCTGACGGAGCTCCGCTCACACCAGTGGGAGGATCTTCCTGAAGTCTGAGTAGCAAAGAAAAGGAACATTAAGGAGGAGAGGAAAGAGAAAGACAAAAGAAACTGACATTTAAGGAGGAGGTGGCGGGGAAAAGCAAACATATCCAGAGGGATTTATGAATGCATTCTGCATTAAGGAAACTAATTAGTCACCTTGACAACCAGCTAATTATCAGTCAAAACAACAAACAGCAATATGATACAGTGCGAGGATCAAAGATCAACAGCATGCCGCCTATCCAATAATAAGTCGTCAGTAAACATAATGCTACTCCAAAGGCTCATCAGAGGCTCTGCTGTTCTGTGGCTGTGCAGCCCACCCGCTTTAAGCTTCAAGCCTGTTAAAGCCTCGGTACCAGAGATGCTATGGAGGACCAACTGCCATATTTAAAAATAAACACAGAAATAAATAAATGCTCCATCAATAAATAAGCATACAATTTATTGCCCACAAAAATACAAACAAATAAATGAAGGTAGAAATCAATTTATAAGGTGATGCATTAATGTATGAATCTCTTTTAATTAGCTTCTTTATTTATTCGCCTTTGTTATGATTACCTTTTTTATTGTCCGTTATAATCTTCAACTTTATTACTTATTTTTTAAGTATTTGTGTGCACGATACATTTTTGTCTGTTTTATTTTTTTAGATTGTATTTTTTTAGCCGATATATTTCTGCCATGCCATTTATTTCTGGCTGTTTTTACATTTCTGTATGCATTTCTGCCTCATTATGCAAATCAAGAGGGGTGTATTTTAGAGAGTCAACTCTGCCCATCTGATGCACTTGAAGTAAATGTTTAGGAAACCATAATCATAAAATATGTAAACTGTTTAGATGCACAGGATATTTGGTTCTAACATGCTGTCAGACTATTTGCCACTTTGTTTCAGTGAAGTGGATGGTATTTGTTATATACGGTCACGTGAAAAAGTTTGAGTACCCGTATTAATCATAATTATTCTTTATGTCACAATATTTGTGTGTTTGCAGCAGCTATTTCAGTTTTATATATCTAATAACTGATGGACACAGTAATATTTCAGTATTGAATTGAGGTTTATTTGACAAACACAAAATGTGCAATATGCATTAAAACAAAACTTGACAGGTGCAAAAATGTGGGTACCCTAATCATTTTATTGATTTGAATACCCTTAACTACTTTTCACTGACTTATTGAAACACAAAATTGGTTTGGTTACTTAATTACGATTTGAACCTAATAGCCAGGTGTATCCAATCAGAAGAAAATGTATTTAAGGTGGCTAGTTGCAGGTTTTCCTCCTATTTGAATCTTTTCTCAAGATTAATCGTGGGCACATAAAAACTTCTCTAAAATGACCGGAAAACAAAGATTGTTTAACATAGTCGTTCAGGGGAAGGATACAAAAAGTTGTCTCAGAGATTTAAACTGTCAGTTTCCACTGTGAGGAACCAAGTAAGGAAATGGAAGACCATAGGGACAATTCTTGCTAAGCCCCGAAGTGGCAGGCCGAGAAAAATATCAGAGAGGCAGAGAAAAAGAATGGTGAGAAAGGTAAAGGACAACCCACAAACCACCAAAGACCTAAAGCATCATCTTGCTACAGATGGTGTCACTGCGCATCGTTCAACAATTCAGCGCACTCTACACAAAGAGAAGCTGTAAGTGAGAGTGATGTGACAGAAGCCTTTTCTGCAAGCACTCCACAACAGAATCAGCACATTTGGACAAGCCAGCTTCATTTTGGAATAACATCCTGTGGACTGATGAAAAATTTGGTTGTTTGGTCATAAATAAAAGGCGTAATGCATGGCGGTAAAAATGGACTGCGTTCCAAGAAAAACACTTTGCTACCCACTGTACAATTTGGTGGAGTTTCCATCATGCTTTGGGGCTGCGCTGCCAATGCTGGCACTGGGACTCTTGTTCAAGTTGAGGGTCACATGGATTCCACTCAATATCAGCAGATTCTTGAGAATAATGTTCAAGAATAAGTTACGAAGTTGAAGTTACGCCGGGATGGATATTTCAGCAAGACAATGATCCAAAACAGCACTCCAAATCTACTCAGGCATTCATGCAGAGGAACAATTACAATATTCTGGAATGGCCATCCTGAATATCACTAAAGATCTGTGGGATGATTTGAAGCAGGCTGGCCATGCTCAGCGACCATCAAACTTAACTGAACTGGAACCATTTTGCAAAGAAGAATGGTCAAAAATCCCTTCATCCAGAATCGAGGAACTCATTACAAGAAGCAAAAGAGGCTGTATTTGCAAAAAGAAGATCTACCAAATAATGTCTCTTTTTTTGCTGAGGTGCCCATATTTTTGCAATTTTTTTAATGCATATTACACATTTTCTGTTAGTACAATAAACCTCAATTCAATACTGAAATATTATAGTGTCCATCACTTATTAGATATATCAAACTGAAATAGCTGTTGCAAACACCCAAATATTTAGAAATAATTAAGATTAATAGGGGTGCCCAAAAGTTTTCATATGACTGTATCTCTATGCATCTTTGTCACCATTAACACAGAGTAAACAATCCCAGACAGGAATTTGGATCATTTTATGTTTTTGCTCTGGCATGCTTCCACTCCAGCATCACCCCTCTTGCCAATACCAGTGAGTGGATGGTGGCAACACTACAACACATACAAAAAAGCCTTCTGAACAGATTATTTGTTTGCATCTCTACTTTAACTTAAAGACAATGAAGCACTTCAGTTATGGAATGTTTGCAATATCAAAGGATCTGGTCGCTCAGAGTCAGAAGAAATTACCAAAACGGTGACACTGCTTTTCATGAGGCTCCGTTTCTCTCTGCAGAACAGAAAGTAATCATGCCACGACATTTAAAACTTACAGAAGCAACGCAGCTGCAGTCAGGAAATGTCATGAATTGTCAACAACATCTTTCAAAAAAAAAAACTTCTCCCTGACCGGTTTTAGTGCTTAAACTGCTTGGTGTGCTTTAATACAATTAAATGAATAATAAAATGTTGCAATTAACCATTTTTTTCCCTACATGCCTTTTTCATTTGCAGAAAATAATGATATAGTTGTGTGTCTAAAAATTCCCAAAACACTTTAAAACTCATTGTTTTAAAAATAAGCTTTTTTGTATTCCTTTCTGCACAGGAAAATTGCTGTATTGCATATTTAATCTACTACACAGAAAATCGCTATTTTTTTATTCCCACTTCCTATTAGGCTGGGAACAGAGCAGCAAATAATTAGCCAAACATTTTAGAAACGTCATATGGTTTGATCGAATAACATCCAAACAGATTACAATATATGAAAATAATCCAATATTCAGACTTTTAAAAGTTTCTCTTAAGTTCCACTGATAAGAATAATCAATTTATATCATTTGGCAACCTAAACTGGCAAACAACTCTATGACTGTGTAGTAGCCTTCTACTACACTTATCCAAATGAAAAAAATTTAATAAAATTGAATTACCATGTTCTAGATTTTCTTTTATGCTGCACATCAGTTTAGAACCCAAGTGTTTAAGCTTAGAATAAATACAATACAAATTTACCATTGCCAAACTGGGAGTTGTTTTTGCACAATTTCAAACTATGCTCATTGGTTTGACAAATGATCTCAGTGACATGCAGTGCAAAAATGCCACAGCAACAGCTGCCTAGCAACAAAGAAATGAGCAAATCAAAGGAGCTGGTTTTAAATTTATTTTCCCACCACTAGTCTGTTTTTAGATCATAGTTTTAGCAGAATTACACCAACAGTATACATGAAGGTAGCTCGCTTAAATAAGCCTCTGTTATTGTCACATTCAAACTCTTGCTTTTGTTTGCTAAAAGAAAATTTCAAAAATAAATCTAAAGCATATAAAGCCCATATATTAACACCATTTATAGAAAAATTATGGCTTTTATGAGGACTTTAAGTCATTGAAAGTTGTAAGAGGATTTTTAGCTTGTAAAATCCCAGATATCTTTCCAATGGCTGCACTGCAGACAAACCCACTGTACCCAAGCTCCTTTACAGTGATGTGAAAGGTGCACCACTCAGTTTATCGATTAGGAAGGTGCGAGTTACATCGTTGTACTGCACATTAGAAAATTATTGAAAAGTCAGCATCCCTAGATGTGGAGAACACTACATACTTGGGTAGCAGAAAAGTAGTTGGTGGTTAAAATTGTTTTCACATTGTGTCTGATTTATAGCAGGTATAATTAAATCAAATAAAAACAATACAATAGCTTGTGCATTACATCCTTGTTAGTGAGTGCCTCATTATCCCTTTTAGAGAACAGAATGCATGCTATGCATACATTAGTCATTCATAAAATGTTATTTTAATCCAAATTCAAAACCTAAAGGAGTTTCACCATTGGAAACCAGTGTGCATTTCACAAACTGACTGCAGGATGACTTCCTGAGCAGAAAGCCTGACTAACAAATAGCCAATATCAACTCTACAGAACAGAGAGTAACCATTTCAGAATACTTAAACCTTGCAGAAGCAATGCAGCTGCAGTAAGGAAATGTCATAATGTGTCAACATCTTCCTTCTAAAAAAACAAGCAAAAAACAAACAAACAAAAAAAACCTTATCCTGACCCATCTTAGTGCTTAAACTGCTTGGTGTGCTTTAATTCAGTTAACTGAATAATCAAATAATGCAATTAAGAAATCCAACCAACTAACATATTGTTATTAAAGGTGGAGGCAAAAGCTGTTGTTAGGCAATAAGTAAAAATATGTTGCTTTACTGCTGGTGAAGATTCTCAGCCATCCACGTGACGTCATAGTCGTTCCAAAAAAAGTAAAAAAAACAACAACTTTGTTTTCCAGGTTTGAAGGCATTACGCTTCCCATCCAGGAAGCTTATTCCCATTCAAAATGTCAAAATTAGCATTGAGTTCCAAGCTTTACAGAGTAGCCCAAACAACTTTCTTTGAAAGCTGAAGCTTCTCCAATTTGATGATGTGATCCAAGGTGTAAACACTGTACATCTGAAATGCAGAGTAGTAAACTCCTCACAGGGCTTGTGGAAATCACAATGCAAACAGGCCCAGGATAAAACCCCATTCATCTTGCCTGGTGTTCCACTCTGGCTCATTCAAGATTATTCCAGACATACAGTTCTTCAAATAGGTTCTGGTAAAAAAAACAAGAAAACAAAACTGCAAAGGTCGTCCAGCTGCCATACAGAGGAAGCTGCTTTCAGCTGCCTGCATCAAGGACCTCATTCTTTCAGTTTGGTTGCTATTTGTCTTGGTTATAGGTGAAGATCTGAACTTAAAAGGAGCTGCAGCATAGCATTTTGACACAGTCGAACTTCACTTGCGCCGCTTCTCCTGTTTGCATGGTAAAGCTCTCCGGGACCAGGCCACATGTGATACATATTAGCCAATGAGGTGTCAATCAGGGCTGTTGCCACTAGCTACTTTTAGACACAGCAGGCAAAACTGTGGCAAGCCGGGCAGTGGGTAACGATGATGAGAAAACGTGAAAGAAAGTGCGGACTGCTGAAAGAACTGTAGTGAACTTGTGACAGAAAAGTGAAGCTGTGCTCAAAGATGACCCTGCACATTTTGAGTATGTTTGGCTCAACCTGCTGCTGTGAAGCAGGATTCTCCACCATGAACATAATCAAAAAGTAAATATGAAACCAGGCTCAAAATTAGCACCTTGATATGTGAATGAGAATGGCTTTGTCGCCATTCAAACCCAGGTTTAAAGCCTTGCAGGTCAGCCTAAAGCTCACTGCTCTCATTAAGCGATAAATAAGAAAGAAAAAAACAAACGGTCAGTTCAGGTGTTTTACAAAATATGTGAATCATGAAATAGTCTATAAACCAAACTGAACAATTGTTGTTCTCCACTTCAAAAAACACTTTAGATCTTAAAATGCAAAAATTTTCAATTTTTTTATTTATTTATTTAAAAAGTCAATGCATAAGCACCTAAATTTATTTCAGTGTTGAACTCTGTTTATTAAAGAAACAGATTATAATTAAAAATGTCTCCAGACCTTTACTGGTTGTTGATTTTCCTATATTCGGACCCCGCTTATTTTTAATTAGTTACCCCTGGTCTATAAATAAGGATAAACGATAATGAAATAATCTTGAAAATGGGTTAATTTTCAAAAGCTTTATTTTCATTCAGTTTTATTATATTGAAGATTTTGAAGAATATGATTAAATGAAATTGTTAAGAGATGGTTAATTATATAAATCACACTTCATGCAACTAGTGTCCTTTCTTTGTTTTTGTTTCTTTTGTTTTTTGTAACCCTTTTCGTTATCAAAATAATTTTGCCCAATATCGTGATACGTTTTTTTAAGTGCACATCGCAGAAATAAAAAAATATATATTACTACACAAACATATGGATTGCGATACAAGCTTTATTTTTAATTGTTTTCTTCACGGAGAATTAAGTTTACTGTCCATTACAGACAAATACAGAACATTAAAGTGGCTTCAAAAGAGGAGGCAGGAATTTATACAGCCATGGGAAACACGGTGCTGTAGAAAAAGTCCCAAACATCCTTCCTCGAAAAGAAAAATCGAAAGTAAATCGACCTGATATGAATAAATAAACAGATTTTCTGGATTTTCCTTCCTTTTACATTGGTCATTTTAAATACCCCAACGGTAAACCACCCGATTTCTTCTAGCTTTATCCAATATATCAATAATCATTGTGAAGCACCTTTTCATCCATACTGATTGCGTTTCTCTGCGGTATTATAGGCAAAATAAATATGACCCCTATGCGCCACAAACTGATTGGAAACACTGAAAACACTGCATCAGATCTAAATACTGCAAGCAAATAGATCCAGACGTTATCAACATTTCAGAGATTAGACTTTGGCTCAGTGTAAAAAGAAACTGTTGTCAAAGAAGGAATTGGAAATGATTTAGGACTAGATTTTAAGACAAAAGTCTCTTCGGTGTGAACAGTTTCGTCTTCAACCGGTGCTAACGCTTAGCTAACTAGCCATGGAGCTAACGCCGCTAGCTTAAACATAAAACAAGGCGGTAGCCTCCAAAAAACGCATTCTTTACCTTTTAAAATCTCTCATTAATCGCCTCCTCGCAGGTGTAGACATTATTTCAGTCGTGTATAAAAAAATTTAAAAACTATATGAGCGGAGAAAAAAGCTGAAATCCGGTGTTTCTTCCGCTTGCAGCTCTTTTCGTGTTCCCCCAAAACAACAACTGGCTAGCTAGCTATTTATGGTTGACGTCGGCTGGTTGCGATGCTGAGGCCAACAGGGGCGGAACCCTTCAACGTTTTTCTTAAAAGCAGGGTATTATAAAGCCTGTCTGCTTTAAAAACAGCTGTCAATTTGTTGGAATGTATTGGAAAATTCATCCGAATTATTTTAAGCCGAATATTAAAGTCAGAAACGCTTAATATTCACCCTGAGTTTGTTTATTTCTTAATTAATGCTGCTGCAATTGCATAAATACTAGTTTTAGGGCTGCCAACATTTACGGAAGAGGATTAGGGCCACTGGGGAAAAAAAGTTAACTGATTTTTAATTTTTATTTCAGTTTAATATTGGAAAAAAGTCAGAATTCTGACTTTTTTTCTCAGAATTCTGACTTTAATCTCAGAATTCTGACTTTAATCTCAGAATTCTGACTTTTTTTCTCAGAATTCTGACTTTAATCTACTCTGGAAAAAAAGTTAACTGATTTTTACATTTTATTTTAGTTTAATATGGGAAAAAAGTCAGAATTATGACTTTTTCTCAGAATTCTGACTTCAATCTTAGAATTCTGACTTTTTCTCAGAATTCAGACTTTTTTCTCAGAATTCTGACTTTAATCTCAGAATTCTGACTTTTTTCTCAGAATTCTAACTTTTTTCTCAATCAGAATTCTGAGATTAAAGTCAGAACTCTGAGAAAAAAGTCTGAATTCTGAGAAAAAGTCAGAATTCTAAGATTGAAGTCAGAATTCTGAGAAAAATTCAGAATTCTGAGATTAAAGTCAGAACTCTGAGAAGAAAGTCAGAATTCTGACTTTTTTCCCCCATATTAAACTGAAATAAAATGTAAAAATCAGTTAACTTTTTTTCTTTTTTCAGTTGCCCTAATCCTCTTCTGTAAACATTTCAGCAAACCTTAGGGTGAGATTTTGAAATGGTTTGGACAGGCAACCCTCTCAGGGTTAGATGAGGATAGGTGCAGCTATAGGTTGGAGGTTTTCAGAGAATTTAACTGAAACAAAGTGGCAAAATGTGGAATTTTTATAGCACAGTAAAAGTTACTGACTAACATTAAGTGGTCTGCAGTTATGTGGAAAATTTTTCACACAATATACATTATTTTTTTATATTCTGGTGATTTTTAGAGAAGTGAAGTTAAGCAGGATGGGCCCTACTAAAATATTTGCATCTTAAATAAACTTTAAACTAAGAATTTCACAACTTTTTTTTATTAATTATTCTCTGCAGTTCAATTAAATTAAACAATGGGGAATTAATTAGCTTTTAGTGGCAGTGATACAGGAACCAGTGCAATTGAAACCTATGCAAACTACACTCTGTATGAATATTTGGTAATATGCTAAGGATTTAAAAGCTTTATTCATTATGTTATTAGTTTTTCTTACAACTGACAAAACGACTAAACAATTCAGGTTTTTCTAGGAGGCTATAGATTTTATAAAAACTCACCATGACAGGTGGCTGTTCTCTGGATGTTTCAGTTTGGAAGGTGTGATGGAAATTAAGCTTTTAAACATATTCAATGGACCAAAATAAAGATAAATGAATATGATAAGTAATAATAAAAGAAGAACATCTCTGTTCTTCTTATTCCTCTTTCATGTTCAGATTTTTCTCAACACAGTTCAAAATCATAAATATAGATTTAAATGTAAACCACTGCACTAATTTAGACTACTGCAAAATGATCTTAGATAAAGTTTGTGGTAACCAGAAGGCTTTTGGCATTATTCCAGCTAAATATATGACTGCTTTCCTTCTACATTTTTTATTTTTTTATTTTATAAACCAGAATTTCCGTTCCTGGTCTCTTGGTTTAAAAAATACTCCAAGAATGTTCATGTTGGGCCATTCCTTAAGTTCAATAAGAAACCGCTTTCACTATTTAAAACCATATGGAATTATGTGATCAGGATCATAATCCTAATGAAATAAATTTTACATTATGAGTTTAAGGTGAAATATTGGACAATTTTAGCAGAAGCTCTGCTTTTTCCCTACTCTATTCACTTTGTGTCATTTCTGTACATCTCATCTGATGTTGAAGCAGGCTTCTCACTTGTTCACATCCTCTCCTTCCATAGTGATGTTAAACAGGGTCAACTATTAATGTTATTCATGCACGTAGTTTGTTATCTCCCTGTTATAACATTCAGACCTACTGAGAAATGGCATAAAATAATATTATGCACATCAGTCAATCCAACCAGTAGTGCTACCCTTTTTTTTTCTTTTTTTTTTAAGTGGCTTCATTTTTTATGCAACAGAAAATCCTTCCCACCTACAGCTATTAACAAATACAACAACTAATTGAAAAGAAAAAAAAAATTACCACAACGTTTAATTTTTCTTTGGGATCAATAAAAAATGAATGTATTATCGCCATAGGCTCTCTAAATCCGATGGATTCTGTGTGCATTGTCCGGCTGGGGAAGCAGTGAGTAGTAAAAAATTAACATAAGATGGATTGTCTTTTCAATAAATATTGGTTAATGTGTAATGAAGAAACCCCTAACAAAAAATAAATAAACAAATAAGGGTTTGATTATTAATGCTTAAGAGTATGTAGGAAGATAATAGTAGAAATAAGGATAAAAAATGAACTTTTTTGTCCCACAATGCAGAAGTTAACTCTCTGCATTATAACCCATCCCCTTTGGGAGCACTGGGCTGCCATTGTGTGGCGCCCTGGGAGCAGAGTGGGGTTCAGGGTTTTGCTCAGGAACCCAGAGTGCAGGCTGTGGGGATCGAACCAGGTACTTGCAACCTTCTCAGAGCACAAGCACGCTGCTCTAACCACAAGGCCAACACTTTCACCTATTATAGTTATTACTTCAGAAACAACTAAAAAACATTTTAACGTGTTAAGCTTTAATTCACTTGGTATGGTATGAACTTTTGCTTTAACTGTTTATCCCATTTTTTAGAGGAAAGCACTTATTTGATTCCATGTACAGAAATAGACATTCATCATATGGCAAATCCAAACACACTCTATGAGTCACCACTGCATGCCGGGCCAAGCTCCAGCACACGAAAATCAGCTATTTATCACACCTAAACCATCTTCTCACAATTTTCCTTTAGGATCCCAGTCGCTGGGATCAATAGATATAAAGCCATTTTAGTCATTTTCCCTGTGGCAACAATATATGTTGTTACAGAAAATAGTGGCCACAACTTCACCTTTTAACCAGCAGCTAAAGGCATGCTCCTTTATGTAATCCATCCTGTATTTATAGACCATGGCTTACTTCTAGTAGATTCTTTCTACATTTAAGCTGTAGAAAAGAATGTATTTGATTAACTTTAAAGAACCATAAATCACACGAAACAGACTAAAACATCATGAACTGATTTAGGGGGCTTGTTTTCCAATTGTCTGACTGGTTGTTTTGTGGAGGAAAAGGTGACCCTGTGTGTTTCTGCCAGCTGCTGGGCAAAAGCCTCTGATCCAGCCAAATTATGCAGGGAGAGAGAATCCCTGCTTAGCTGTGATGCTTTTAATAGACAGCAAGGAAATGCTGGCCATCCTTTCTCATTCTTTTGAACAGCAGCATCTGGTTGTATAATTTGTTAATTTTCAATTTCAAAGTCTTTATTGTTCGGATGAAATATGCTAATTTTTTTGAGATAGGAATTTTGGGTTTTCATGAGCTGTATGCCAAAATCCTCCGTATTAAGACAATAAAAGACATGGAATATTTCAGTTAGTGTGCAATGAATCTAAAATATATGACTGTTCAAGTTTATCATTAAAGTATGGAAAGTAATGAACTTTTTTACAATATGCTAATATTGTGCATTGCATTGCTTTGCGAAAGTATTCGGCCCCCTTGAACTTTCCAACCTTTTGCCACATTTCAGGATTGAAACAGAGATATAAAATTGTAATTTTTTTGTGAAGAATCAACAACAAGTGGGACTCAATGATGAAATTTTGCGAAACTTATTGGAAACTTTAAACTTAAAAAAAAATATATACTGAAAAACAAGTCGCTTGGGGTATGTCTCTATCAGTTTTGCACATCTAGAGACTGAAATTTTGGTCCATCTTTCCTGCAAAACAGCTCAAGCTCAGTGAGTTTTAACGGAGAACATTTGTGAAAAGCGGTTTTAAGCTCTTTCCACAGATTAGATTCAGGTCTGGCCTTTGACTTGGCTGTTCTAACACCTGGATATGTTTATTTATGGACCGTTCCATTGTAGATCATTAGCTGGATCATTAGCGGGTGAAAATGAGCTATCCCTGAAACGTGAGGAAACAAACGATACAGATAAATAGTTTATTCAAGTCATTAAATCTGCAATTCAAGTCTGGCTCAAGTCATGAAGTCAAAGTCAACACGTCTGAATGAAATTATGTTTTCCATTGTGATTAATTCTCTTCTATTAAACATTTTCCCTGTTCAAAAAACTAAATACTCTTCCCTGACCAATCTAACTCGAAGGGTAAAATGTCTTTATGGAAACCAGCCATTGCTGGATCTGATGGTCATTTCTTAATGCTGGGAGACCTGATGAAGAAGGCAGCATGTGCAGCAACTGGAGCAACTGGAGAAGAGCAGACCTTCAAGGTGAAAAAAAGCTGATCGTCTCATGAAAGCTGCATTGTCACATTAGACCTGCACAGGCTAAAGTAATTAAATTACAGCGCTGGATGGGTCAGCCAATGTCAGCGTTGTGGCTTCTTAGCCCAGTTCGCTGAAGTTGGTGTCAATAAAGGCTGTGAAGGGATTCAAACAGGTTAAAATCTGCCTTTTTATAAAGTCTGTAATCTAGTGCATTTTTTGTGTACAAAATGAATTTCCAGAAATAAGCAATATCAGAACTGATGGAGCAGAAATTTAAGATACACTATTTTAAAAAGAGCTTCTCTAACAACAGTGATCTCATGGTTTGTTATACATATCATTGTTATGCTGTTTGAATTAGTATGCAATGTTCCCACATGAACAAAACAAATGACCTGTTAATTACTGTTATAATAATACATTGGAATAACTGAA